ATATATATATATATATGCTCACATTTATAATTTTTACATGCATTCATTTTTATTTCTTTTAGTTCAATTAAATTGTTAGGTTGAATAAAAGGGTACTTCTTCTATACTTATATATAAAAGGGGTATCTTCCTTAATATAAGTGAAATAAAGTTATTTTGCTTACATGTAGGTTCACATGAAGTGTAACTTGGTTGAACAATATGTGAGTTGTTATAAACTACTTTCTTCATTTCATAATGACTATAATTTAAGATCTTTATGCATAGATTAAAAATAAATAGTTTGCTCTCTCAATAAATACATTAGTTTTAATTGTGGTTTTTAAGTAATTATGGATGGACAAGTTATGAAGAAAAAAAAAATTACATTGAAAAGTAAGAAAATTATTTATTTGGATACATTTTTCAAGTGTTAAAATTACCATCATTGTGAAACGTAGGAAGTGATGTTATCAAATTAAATCCGTAGTTGACTTAGTTAAAATACTAAGTTAATAAGTTATTTATTGAATCACATAAATTCACACACATAACATAATATTTAGATATGATATATGACTTTTTTTTTATCATTTTTGATAAACAACTTTCAGTGAGGAGTGTTAATAATATACTCTTCTTTTTTATTCCATCAAAATTATAATAATAGACGAAACAGCACCACAATTTTTACTATTTTATACTTTCTATAAAATAATAATAATAATAATAATAATAATAACTTTTATTGATCAAGAACTGTTTTTTGGCCAAAAAAGAAACATTTGACAATTTATAATTTTTTTTTCATTTTTCAAAAAATATATTATTAAATTATTTTTATAATATATTTTTTATCATACTCCCTTTTTTTTTTTGGGTAAATTAATGAAAAATAAAAACAAAGGAAAACGAGATTACAAACTTGACAAAGAATCAACTCCTAAAGCCATAAACACGAAACTAGGAGGACTCCTCCATTTCACCATATCAACCAAGTTTCGAACACCCCAACAAGCAAGATTGTGTGCCACTGAGTTGCATTCTCGAGGAACCCAAGAAATCTCCACAACTCAATTCCAAGTCCTCATGTCCTTCACCCGCCAGATGATATAAATATTTTAGATTTAAATATAAACAAATTTTAACTAAGTCAGTCTTATTTAATACTCTTAATCTAAAGATTCTCCCAAGCTAATAAATTAGAACATTATCTATAATCAATGAGATTAATGATATTTTAGTAAATATAATGGATATTTTATATGAAATCATAAAAATTGAATGATTTTTTTTTGTGCTTATATATAAGTCTAAAATGAGTACTCCTTCTAGACCTATATATAAACAAAAAAGAAATTATTAAAATTTATAAGATGATCTAAATATAAAAAAATTTCAATTAAGTTAACATTATTTAATATTCTTAATTTAAAAATACTTCTATAATAATAAATAAAAATACTATTTATCATAAATGTGATTAAAGATATTTTAACAAATGTAATATATATATTTTTATGTTAAATTGTGAAAATCAAAGACATTTAATGAATTTCTTTTTATATACATGAA